CTGGTATTGAGCACCAACAATGCGGAATCAGAAGCCAAAGAGACAGTGGCCCAAATCCTAGCTCTTCTAATATAATTAAGGTCCACTTCCCAGGCTAGGGAACAGAGTAGAGAAGGAATTCTTAAGTGTGGAAGCTTAAGAATGTGCAACCCCCACTTCCTGTAATGGGCCGCTGCTTCCCTCTAGTGGCCACCACATAAATTGCACAGTAGCTCACTGAGTACAAGGTTGAAAGGCATTTTCTCCATTAATGATGGTTTATTATTATTATTTTTAAAATTTTTTAGAGAGATTTTTGCGATAGGGTGCCTGTGCTTGCTGGAGAAAGAGACAGAGACAGAGAAACAGAAAGCGAGAAATCATTTCCCAGGTGAGATGACCATGCCGCAATCCTTTCCTCTATTCTCCTCTCAGGACCATAGGCACGCCCGCATATGCGCCTGGCGTGAGTTTTAAGTTGCCAGTCCAGGACTAGAACTACGGTTAGCTATGTGGGAGTCCAGCGACATAACCATTGCGCCATCTGCTGGTACCATGCTTTTTTTTTTTTTCTGAGAGATTTTTGCTATAGGGCTTGCACACTCACCAGAGAGACAGAGACAGAAAGATAGAAAGCAAGAAATCATCCCCCAGGGGGGATGGCCATGCCACAGTCCCTTCTCCTCTGTTCTCTTCTCAGGATTTTGGGCATGCACACATGCGCCCGGCGTGAGTTTAAGCTACTGTCTGAGACTTGAACCACAGTTGACTACATGGGAGTCCAGTGACATAACCATTATGTCATCTGCTGGTCCTATGCTGGTTTTCTTAACAATGCCAGATGCATAATTCCCTTTTCATGCTATGTATTTTGGGTAATAATAGTAATTAAAAAAATAATCTTGGGACCAGCAGTTAGCGTAATGGCTATGTGGCTGAACTCCCATGTAGCCAACCACGGTTCGAGTCCCAGACCTGGTGGCTTAAACTCACGCTGGGCGCATGTGCGTGCATGCCCAAGATCCCGAGAGGAGAATGGAAGAGAAGGGATTGCAGCGTGGCCATCCACCCTGGGGGTCAATTTCTCACTTTCTGTCTCTCCGTCTCTCTCCATCTTTCTGGTGAGCGTATGTGCTCTATAGCAAAAACCTTTCAAAAAATATTTTATTTTATTTTATTTATTATTATTCTACATATGTTTTAATTTGCTATAGGGAATGTACACTCACCAGAGAGAGACAGAGAGGGAAAATGAGAAAGCAAGCCATCAGCTCCAGGACTTGAATTATAGTCAGCCATGTGGGAGTCCAGTACTGTAACCACCATGCCACCTGCAGGCTCATGATAATAATTTTAAAATATTTTAAGCAGATTTATTGAGTTGACATACAAAAAATTGCATACATCTCTATAGAGTATGATTTGATAACCTTTGACATAAATATGTATACACTTGAAATTATCATGAGCAAAAGAGCAAACGTATCTATCACCCCCAAAAGGCCCCTTGTGCCCCTCAGTGATCCCTCCTCTCTTCCTACTTTCCCATTTCCAAGCAAATACTCATCTGCTATCATCGTAGATAAGTTCACATTTTCTAGAGTTTCCTTTCAATGGAATCATTCAGCATGTATGCTCTTTTTTCTTTCTTTCTTTTGTGTTTTTAAGGTTTTTGCTATAGGGCACATGAGTTCGCCAGAGAGAGAGAAAGTGAGAAATCACCCTCCAGGGGGGGATGGCCACATAATAATCCCTTCTCCTCCATGCTCCTTTCAGGATTTTGGGCACATACGCACATGTGCCCGGCATGATTTTCAAAGAACTGGGTCTGGGATTTGAACTGCAGTCAGCCATGTGGGAACCCAGCAGCTTCACCACCATGCTACCTGCTGGCCCCAGTATGTACACTTTTTCATCTAGCTTCTTTCACTCAGTCGTATTACTTTTATTTGCTTATTTTAAGAGAGATTTTTGCTATAGGGCATGTGCACTCTCCAGAAAGACAAAGAGAGACAGAAAGTGAGAAATCACCTCTGAGGGGGGATGGCCATGCTGCAGTCCCTTCTCCTCTATTCTCCTCTGGGGAGTCTTGCACATACATACACACACACCTGGTGTGAGTTTAAGTCACTGGGTCCGGGTCTTGAACCATGGTAACTATGTGGGAGTCCAGTGATGTAACCATTATGCCATCTGCTGGTCCCAGTCTGATTACTTTTTTTATCCACTAGTTCATTCGATATTATTGCAAAGTAGTATTTCATTGTACTGAATTGTTTGGCAATTTATTTGTAATCAATTCTTGAAATATTACAGAAGGCATATATTCTTTTCTTTTTTTTTGGAGAGGTTTTTGCTATAGGGTGCGTGCGCTCGCCAGACAGACAGAGAGAGACAGAGAGACAGAAATCACCCCCCAGGGGGGATGGCCACGCTGCAATCCCTTCTCCTCCATTCTCCTCTCGGGATCTTGGGCATGCACGCACACATGCCCGGCATGAGTTTAAGCCACTGGGTCCAGGACTCGAACTGCGATCGACTATGTGGGCGTCCAATGACATAGCCATTACGCTAACTGCTGGTCCCACAGAAGGCATATACTCTAGGAGCTAAAGATAGCCTTCTAATGAAGCCAAAATTTAGACTTATTAATCAGATGATTTAAAATATGTCTAAGTGGTGACTGCCTTTCTGTGTATTTTTTCTGGAACACAGTACACCTGTCAAATCTGCAAACTCAACTTTTTTAGCTTTGGTGTCTGTTCAGAACATCTGTAATTCCCAGTTTCTTTCTTCCTTTTCTTTGTTTGTTTGTTTTGTTTTTGGGAGAGGTTTTTTGCTATAGGGCACGTGCGCTCGCCAGACAGACAGAGACATAGAGACAGGAAGCGAGAAATCACCCCCCTGGGGGGATGGCCACGCCATAATCCCTTCTCCTCCATTCTCCTCTTCTCCTCCATTCTCCTCTCAGGATCTGTTTAAAGTTTATTTGCTCATTTTTTCCATGAGCAAGAGAGACAAGAGACAGTAATTCTGAGACAAGGATCTCAATGCCACGATGCACCCCCGACTTCAGCGAGCCCTGAATCGTGGACACACATGTGCTGGTGTACTCAGAGATTCTCCAAACGAGAGCCTGGAATCTTTGATGTTTCCTCAGGATTAGATGTGCGTGAGAGAGACAGAGAGAGATGAGTACCCTCCACAGGGTCTGGTCATACTATGATCCCCTTCCTCCAGTCCTCCAGCCCTTCGGATCTTGGGCTTGGCTAGCAAGTTTCAGGCTGACCAGACCAGGCATTCGGACCATGGTTACCACGTGAGATCTGGATTCTTCTGAGCAGGGCATCACCACTGTATAACAGATCCAGACTTGTCTTTATTTTGTTACTGATCTCAACATTGTCAGTCCATCAACAGAGCACCCAGACGTATGTAATAAAAATTAAATTCAGCCGTTTTTTTACTTCCTGGTATACACAAATTATAGGTTGATACATAGTTTTATCAGGCCAGTCTTATAACCTAGGGCTAAGGGAGTCAGATCCCACATGGCTGACCACGTTTCAAGCAATGCAGGCTTGAAAAACATGCGAGGCTCACATGCAGGTGTGCCTCAAATTCTGACAGGATGGAGGAATGGAGAAGAGATTGCAGCAAGACCATGCTCCATTGGGGGTGCTTTCTCTCTGTCTCTCTAGCAAGCTTGCACACTCTCTGGCAATAAAAATGAAAGTTATTTTAAAGGGATATTTGTCAGAGCAGGAGGATAGAACATACTTTATTTAACAGCTCGTTAGCTTGACTTATACCTTGTAAATGTTTAGACAGATGGCTTGTGGTTTCCATTTGTCGTCTGGCCCAGAGCTGCACTTCCAATATTTATTTGTGGGCACCAGCTTGGGTTTTCTTGAATTCTTTGAGTGGATAAGTATCCATCCAGGACTCATGTTAGTCACTGCTCGGAGTGTGGGGTGAAGGGTCCCATTGACTTCCCTTTGAGTGCTGACATCATCCCCTCTAAGATTTTAATCTGCAGAGAGACCAAATTTTCAGCTTTGGAGGTCTCGTCTCCTGACTGGAACACTAACCCTACAGAAACATGTAGGGATGTTGTGACCTCCATGGGGAGATGACAGGTCACCATTCCAAAGGTTTACCAGGTGCCAACCGTGATAGGCGGGTCTCCTTTGGTTGTGAGTGATAGAAACCCAATTCAAACTTGTTTATGCAAGTAGGGACATTGATTAAATCTCAGAACTGCAGAAATTAAGTCCCTCATATAAAACGGCATTTAAAAATTCAGTTTTTGCGGGAACCAGCAGTTAGCGTAATGGCTACGTTGCTGGACTCCCACGTAGTCGACCGCGGTTTGCGTCCTGGACCCGGTGGCTTAAAACTCACGCCGGGCGCATGTGTGTGCGTGCCCAGGATCCCGAGAGGAGAATGGAGGAGAAGGGATTGCAGAGTGACCATCCCCCCCTGGGGGGTGATTTCTCGCTTTCTGTCTCTATGTCTCTGTCTGTCTGGCGAGCGCACGCGCCCTATAGCAAAAAAAACTCTCAAAAAAAAATTAAGTTTTTGCTTTGTGGAACTTTCTGGAATTTTATTTTTTAAAATATTTTCTGTAATTTTTTTTTTCCAAATATGTTTGGTCTCAGGTTAGTTGAATTCATGGGTACAGAACCCAAAGTCATAAAGGGCAGACTGATTGGGACATAGGGATATTGTGTCACCTAGGGGGGCAGGGCCCTATGACTAGCAACCCCACTGAAGCCTCCTGGGGGCAGGATTTCCACCAAAGGTGCTAGTTCCCACAAAGGAAGGGAGGTGGGCAGAAATGACACCAGTGCTCTCTACGCTTCCCCTCTTGGTGGTCCTCACAGTTGTTACCCAGCTTTCCAGGCCTGTCTGTCATTTCTAACTGAAATTTGATCAATTTGCATGGTTAAAACCAGTGTATTTTCAGTAGAGTAATGATGTCACAGAACTGGGGTTCCAGAAGACTGGGGTGGCCTTGCTCTCGCTTCTTAGAGCATGGCAGTCTTCTAGCTGGGTGGGGCTGGTGTGTGGTGGTGAGGAAGAGGAGGCTCCTACCCCAACAGCCTTGCTGTGCAGATCCTCACAGAAAGTCCTGGGCCTGCTGGGACCCAGGCTCCGAGAGGGATGGGAGAGAGGTAAGCTTCCGAAGGAGGGTGGGAACACACCTGCTGGATCACTGTCTTCCCTGAAGGGGGCCCAGGGGGAGATGTAAAGGGCAGAGACGCACTTCTGATTCCCAAGACTCAGTGACACTATCTCAGAGAATTTCTGAGTCATGATGGGGCAGGGTGCACGAGACATCCTTATACTAAGCAATTATTTGTGTGTTTCTGAAATTCTAATTTAACTGGGCATTTTATCTGCTAAACCTAAAACTCTCAGGGAAAGTGGGAGAAGCAAAAGGATGGCCTCAGGCTCAGGCTGGTGTGTAGTGAGTCTCAAGACTGAACAAGAGGCCCAAGAAGAAACCAGAGCAGCCATCTTGTCCTCACACATGCAGGAAGTGGGTAGAGGTGAGGCCTTTGCCCTCAGCAACTTACTTTCTCCCAGTTTAAGGGGAAAGACACCTGCACACAACCCCCAGGACAGAAACCCCTGGCTTTGTTTTTGTAGCATTGACTATTTTGTAGAACACAGGCCTGTTTATTTACAGTTTCCCTCAGTTTGACTTTGATGTTGATGTTGCCTCAGGATTAGATATTAGATATATTATACTCACTCAAGTACTTTGATCAGAAAGACAGATAATAAGTGTTGGTGAGGGTGTGGAGAAATTGGGACCTTCATATGCTGCTGATAAAGATGTACAATAAGTGGCCAATTTGGAGGTTTGGCAGTCCTCAAATGTTTAAACGTAGAGTTGCCACATAGCCTAGTGATTCCATTCCAAAGAAATGAATTTGTGCATGAATGTTTATAGCAGCACTATTTATAATAGCCAAAAAGTAGAAACAACCTGAATGCCCTCAATGGATGAATGCATAAACAAATGGTAGTATATTCATGTAATAGAATATTCAGCCTTAGAAAGGAATGAAGAATCATATCTGCTACAACATTGATGAACCTGGAAAACGTTGGGTTGGCTTCCCAGCCTAGTGGTTGGAGGAACTGGATCCCACACAGCTGACCATGCATTTTAAAATACTGGCCCTGGTGACTTGAAAAACACACCAGGATGGAGAAATGGGGAGGAGATTATGGTGTGATCACACCCACTGGGGGAGTGTTTTCTCCCTCTCCCTCTGGTGAGTACATGTGTCCACTGATACAAACACACACACAAAGTAAAAGACAACGGACACAGGTCAGCAGGTGGTGTGGTGGTGAAGGTGTTCGACTCCCACATGGTTGACCATGGTTTAAGTCCTGGACCTGATGACTTGGTTTCTTTCTCTCTCTGGTGAGCACATGTGCCCTATAGCAAATTAAAACATAAATAGAACTAAATAAATCATTCTTTTTAAAAAATGAAAGACAGAAATGGCCATGTATTACATGACTCAATTTATATAAAATGTCCAAAATAGGCAAATCCATAAAGATAGAAAGCAAATTGGTAGTTGTCAGGGCCTGGAGGGAGGAGAAATGGTAATAGCCGCAGCGTTTCATTCTGGGTTGATGAAAATATTTAAAAACTGTGCAGAAAACCTGCAAATATACTAAAAGTGATTGAATTGTGCATGTTAAATGAATTAACTGCATGGTGTGTGAATTATGTATTGTAAATCATAGCTCAATAAAGCTATTACAGGGCTGGCAGGTGGCGTGGTGGTTAAGGTGCTGGATTCCCACATGGCCGAATGTGATTCACGTCTTGGACCTGGCAGCTTACTTTCTGACTTACCCTCTCTCTCTCTTTCTCTGGTCAAGTTGAAAAAATAAATAATAATAATAATAATAATAAATAAATAAAATTAAATAAAGCCTTCTTTAAAAAAAACCCCACAAAACTATTTCCAAAAAAGTTACAGATTTGGCCAGTTGGTGGCCCTTTGAGGTATTTCTTGTGCTCATTTGACATGCCCCAATCCATGTTTTGAGCACTTCCATACTTTCCGGTATAACGATATAAACTGGCCTTACCTCATACCTGCGCCAGCCTGGGAATCAGTCATATTCCCAGGAGTTCTAGTTCCATTTTGCTGGAAATGTGAAACCAGCATCTGGGAATTACTTAATTTAATCGTTGTGAGACTCTATTAAGTAGGTATTAGCATATCTTTGTTTTACAAATGGGGCCCAGAGAGGTTAAGTATGTGGGCCAACATCACACAGTAGCCCATCCTTTGAAATTAAACAGTGTGATTCCTGAGCCCTCCTCCCCTCACACACCCAAACAGTATAAAAATGAAGGTTATTTCTCCAAGACACAGTATGTCCTTGGAGAGTCATGTGTCATGTGCTGGGAGTGTGGGGCTGTGGAAAATTAGCACCCAGCGTCCTGGCCCTCCTTCTGAAAGCACAAGCTCAAATACGTGCACATGCACACGCACACGCACACAAGCACTGGTGAAGCTTACTTTTGATTAATCTCCTTTGCCAACCTTATACCTCACCCCAACATCCCAATGCTATGGATAGATGGGTGCCCACTACAAGAGGTCTATGTAGTTGAAACAGAATTGGCCTCGGTTTTTAACTGTTGAAACTGAGCAATGGGCATATGGAGGTTTATGATACTATTCTCTGTGATAAAAAATTAAAATCGTGGGTCAGTCCTATAGCCTAGTGGTTAACAAAGCCAGATCCCACATAGCCAAGGTTCAAATCCCAGCTGTGGTGGCTTGAAATAAAAAGATACCAGGTACATGTATGTGTGCCCCAAATACTAACAGGGTGGAGAAATGGATCAGAGAGAGTGTGGTGTGACCATGCCCCATCGAAGGGTGCATTCTCTCTCTCTGTCTCTCATGATAAGTGTATGTGCTCTCTGGCCATTAAAAAAAAGAGAAAAGAGGGACCAGCAGTTGGCATAATGGCTAAGTCACTGGACTCCCATGTAGCCAACTGCGATTCAAGTCCTGGACCTGGTGGCTTAAACTCACGCCAGGCGCATGTGTGTGCGTGCCCAAAAATCCAAAGAGGAGAATGGAGGAGAAGGGATTGCGGCATGGCCATCCCCCTGGGGGGTGATTTCTCGCTTTCTGTCTCTCTGTCTGGTGAGCACACATGCCCTATAGCACAAACCTCTCTCAAAAGAGAGAGAGAGAGAGAGAGAGAGAGAGAGAGAGAGAGAGAGAAGAGACTGAAAACAGCCTGCAGGGAGCAGAGAGTGACCCAGAAAAATCTGTCTGCTCTCTCCATATTTCCCAGGCTCTCAGAGAAGACCAGCAGGAAGTCCGTGAGACCCTAAAGTCCACAGGCCCTCAGCTGCATCTTCTCATCTCCAAGGACTATGTGGGTGCTACTCTCCTTGGTCACCTGCCTCCTTGCCACCAGTAAGGCCAGCCTCATAGGTCGCTGTGAATTGGCCAAGGTGCTGCATCAGGCAGAACTGGATGGGTTGGAGGGCTACTCCCTGAGTGACTGTGAGTGCCGCTCCTCAGTCCCACCCTCCCACTTCTCCTCCCCCAGCCATGCCCTCTGAGACCACCTCTCTTGTTCTCCTATTCACCTTTCAACCCCAAGATCGAAATGCAGCCCTCTCCAAGAAGCTTTCCTGATATCCCAAATTAATTCAACAATTGTTGCCTGAGCACTTACTGTGTACCAAGAACTATTTTAGGCTCCAGATAGACACAGAGCTCCTTTTCCCTTAGTACTCATGTTCTAGGAAGGAGAGCAGCAATAACCAAACACACAAACACATACCGTGCTGCCGGGTGGTGATGAATGCTATGGAGAGGAATGGAGCAGGGGAGTGACAGACGACCCTTGTTACATGAGGAAGTCAGGCACAGCCTCTCTGAGAAAGTGACATTGAGCAGCACTAAATGAAATGGAGGAACAGCTCCCCCAAGTGGAATGTCTGGGGGGGAAGAACATTCCAGGCAGAGGGAACAGCCAGTGCAAAGGCTTCATGCTCCTGCAGGGAAGGGCTCTCTCTCTGCCCAGAATTTGTGCACATCCATTTTGCCGCACTTGCTCCTTGTGTCTTGCTCTGTGTGGTGTATGTTGAGGTATGTAGTTTCATTCTTGTAATATAGGCCCCATGTGGGTAGCATCTGTATTTGACTCAGCCCAATGTCCCTCACAGGGCTTTGCACAGTTCCTGGCACACAGTAGGTGCTCAATAAGTCTAGAAAGCATGGTGGATGGAAGAATGGATGGGTGGATGCATGGAAGGATGCGAGGAGAAGCCAGCAAGTGTTTCTAACCGTCTAACCCCATCTTGTTCCTTTCTTATGGTTCCTTGCTGCCCTTCCTTCCCCTACCCCTCACTCAGTGTGGTTCCTTGTAAATCCTGACCCTCTTCTTCCTGTTCTAAGGGCTGTGCCTGGCTTTTGTGGAAAGCAATTTCAACATATCAAAGGTAAATGAAAATGTGGATGGCAGCTTTGACTATGGCATCTTCCAGATCAACAGCCACTACTGGTGCAACGATTACAAGAGTCACTCGGAGAACCTTTGCCATGTGGACTGTCAAGGTCTGGCCAAGCCCTCGGGGTGGGGGCAAGGAGAAAGGAAACTAGACTTTATTCATAGGACTTGTCTTCCTACCCAAGGTTGAGAATGTTCCCAGAGGGATGATTCGAAGCATTAAGGAATCTCTTTCTTGAGGAGTGGGCTGGACTAGTTGTCCTAATGCCTCCAGTGAGGAGATTCCGCAGAGTCTGTGAGCTGGATCCAGAAAGGTTCCGTACGGCCAGCAGAAGCAGAGTAGCTGCAGCTGCCGAGGCTTATTGAGAACATGTCAGACACTAGCACTTTACATGCTCATTTACATAGCTCATTTCGTCCACCTTTCCATGCAGTCAAAATTATTTCTGATCCCCCACTTTACAGAGGAACACACTGGGGCTCCTAAGAAACACCAGCACTAAAGGTAGGCTGGTGGCCTTGAAGGCCCAGCTCTAACCACTCAGTGGTACAGTCTTTGGCTAATGGCCTGACCAAAAAGTAAGTGCAAACTCCTCACTTCAGAGCTGATTCAGGAGGCTCAGCAGAACCCATGATGCTGTCCCTCACCTCCTACTTTGTATTCTGACTCATATTCCTGGGATCCTCGCCTGGAGAGCCCCCTCACTAGGTAGAACTTTCCTTTGGCCTCTGTGCGGCCTATTTGGGCATTTCTTCTCCCTAGAAACCCTACCCCCTAAATTTTGAGTGAACCCCCACCTACTCTGGCTAGGAAGACTATCAGTGAACAGGTCCAAATCTCAGTCTTCCTTGCCCCTTCCCCGGCCCCTCTGACTTCCCGAGGCCATGATAGGAATGTCTAAATGGGCCCTGGGAGGAAGCCTCACCTCATCAGGAAGTCCTCAGCACCTGGGTGGCATATGCCTCTGCAGACAGGGCTGGTGTCTGCTTCAGCCCTCGGGCTGTCCCTTATGCTCTCACAGGTATCCTCTCCCTATCTTTCAGATCTGCTGAACTCAACTTTTGTGTCCTATATCTGCCTTTCTCAACTGTGCGAAAATGATTGTGTCCGGATCAGAGGGGATGAAGAGTTGGTGAGGAGGATATGGTGGGGCGAAGTTAGTGGTCAGAGCCCCAGGAAGGAGGGTGATAAAAGAACAGGCAGTATGTGTGATAGAAGCTATTAAGAGGGAAGCAAGAAGCATGTCTTTTTTCTCCACAGGGTGGCATGGAGATTGTACTGCTCAGACCGGCCACTCTCCTACTGGATGACAGGATGCCACCTAGAATGACAGAGGGTGCAGGCCTGCTATGGAGTCACTCGAGTCCTGGCCTTACCTGAGGATTCTTCATTTTGTCTTCTTCTTGTCTCCGCTTCATGTTAATTTCTTTCCATCCCATTTGCAAGTAAAACTGACCAGAGTCCCTAAAATAATGATTTTCTTGATTTTCTTCTTTGCTCCCACCCAGGCCCAGTCCTCAAGTTCCTGACTGTCATTTGCAAACCAACAGGACCACCATAAAGAAATCTGTATGTTTTTTTGATTATTCAAGCTTTCCTGTGCAAAGAATGTTAGTTTATTCATTATTAATTCCATATATACTGACTACCTAATCCAGTAGGTGTGTGCTGGGTACTAAAAGAAGGAAGATGAGACATAACTTGTTTTTGAGATATTTGTAATCTAGATTGAGAAGCAGAGACATCCACAAACATTACAATGGATAAGGAATGTATAATAAAATCTATAATTATTGGCTTGGAATAGCATCAGGATCTAAGTAATTACTCTGAAGCCAGCTATTTTTGAAGTAAAAGAGAAAGCCCAGAAGTAGGTTTGGGTAGAACATTCCTAATCTGAAAATCTGAAATCCAAACTGCTCCAAAATCCAACATATTTTGAGTGCTGGCAGGATGCCATGAGTGGAAAATTCCACACCCGACCCCCTCGATAGCTCATAGTCAAAAGGCTACGATACAAAAATACTGCATAAAATTACTTTCCACCTATGCATATATGGAACATAAATGAATCTCATGTTTAGACTTGGTTCCCATCCCAGGTTATCTCATTATATCTATGCAAAATTTCCCCCCAAAATTCAAAATTTGAAACACTTCCAGTCCCAGACATTTCAGAGGAGGGATGGTCAACCTGTACTGGGTGGGACTGAGTCTGGTATTGAGTGGAAAAAGTAGGGGTGAGAGGGAGAAATGGTACCAGATGCCAACAATTTGGGGGTACTTTGGGAGAATGGGCTAGAATCTATGATAAAACAGGCTTCTCTGGATAAAATTCAGTTTGCTTCGAGGTTGTTGATGCAAAGTAGGAGCCACTTAAGGATAAGGCCAAGGCAGAAAAGGGACAGTGGGGAGAATGTCCTGCACACATCCCCATCCATAGTGTCTGAGCAAACTGAGGTGTTATCTTGGTCAGTGCATGACTCAGCCTCTGAGCTGTAGTATTCAGCTCTGATTCAGCTGCAGGATGAAAGATTAGACTCTTCAGTGACTCTCAAACTGTGAAATTCACAGGCCAGTAAAATGTCAAAAAAATTAAACCTGGAGACCAGAAGATGACTTAATGGTTACGCCTCTGGACTCCCATGTAGTCGACAGCGGTTCAATTCCAGATCAGGTGACTTAAAACTCATGCCAGGTGCACGTGCATGTGTGCCCAAAATCCCAAGAGGAGAATGGAGAAGAAGGGATTGCGCTGTGGCCATCCCTCCTAGGGGAGGGATTTTTCACTTCCTGTCTCTCTGTCTCTCTAGCAAGCGTACGTGCCCTATAGCAAAAATCTCTCTCTCTCTAAAAAAATATTAGGCCTGGAAAGATTCCCAACTTCTAATTTTTAATGTCCAAGTAAGAATGTTAAAACAAATATCCTGTATTTATGAGCGTCGCTTCACAAAACAATTTTTAGCATCAAGAATGTAGAGAAGTCATGAGAATTTCATTTTATGAAATTTTTAAAATGTAAAAATACTGATTAGATTGTCCTTTTCTCATTTTGCTGAAGAAGGGTGAAAACCATCACAGCAAGGGTATGAGGACTATTATTTAGAAAGGGAGATCTGATCTGCAGGATCCCTTCTGACACTGACACTGGGATTAAACTCCTCTTAGGACCTACTTACCCTGCCCAGTAGCTGATTCTGATGCCTAGCACCCCCCTTCTCAGGCACTATCAGTTCCAGTGCTGGTGACTTATTTAGGCCTATTCTTTGATTATTTCCCCCCCAAGTTTATGTCTCTCTCTTTGTCCCCCAACTTCCCACATCATCTGACCTCACGAGTACATGCACTTCACCACAATCACGTAGAAAACCAGGGAAATTCTTTTTAACTATTTCAAGCTAAACTGTCAACGGCTTAAGGACTTATGCTTTGTATATTTAAAACTCCTGAAAACACTCAAGCCAGAAGATTGCATCTTTGCATATTTAGTTGTCACTGACCACAGCTCAGTAGGAAGCGTGAACCACATAGTATCCTGGTCTCCAGGACTGAATTTGAAGCTGGGCTGCCTTTTTTTTTTTTTTTTTTTTTTTTTTAAGATTTCTTTCTTTATTCCTCCCTTCCTTCCTTTAATTTGACCAGAGAGAGACACACACAGAGAGAGAGGAAAGTGAGAAAGCAAGCCACCAGGCCCAAGACTTGAACCATGATCAGCCATGTGGAAGTGTCCAGCGCCTTAACCACCAAGCCACCTGCTGGTCCCGAAGCCGGCTGCTTTAAGATGTCCTTACCTTTTGATCTTGTAAGCTCACCCTTAAGACTCCACCCTAATAATACCCTGCAATGGAAGCACTAAGTGTTGTGAGATTCCAACGGACCCGGTGGGCGGGGCGAGGGAGCTGTCCGCGTGCTGGTCCCGCCCCTCGTTCGCACTCTTTTAAAACTCGCGGGCGTGCTCTGCGCATGCGCAGTGCCGTTGAGCCCTAGCCTCGCGGGCGCAGTAACGGCGAAATGGCGGAGTTGGTGCGTTTTATCGTTCCCACAGAGAGTGACAAAACGTTGCTGGTGTGGGAGTTAAGCGCTGGACCCTCGGCCGAGGCCCTGCACGTGAGCTGGGGACAGGGAGGGATGGAGAAAGCCGTCCACCCTCCACTAGGAGTTGCGGGGTCCTGCCTCCGTTCCCCGTAGCCTCCGCGGGAGGACTCAGTGCTAGAGCGGACGCCAGCAGACAGCTAGCCCCGACACCTTGCAGAGCCCCAGAGCAGTGCCTCTCGGCAGCCGGCATATGTTGCCCCCTGTTACTCCTGAGAGCTTAGGATTCGAGAGGAAAACTTGTTCGCGCAGTGAGAAGTGTTTGGAGTTGCACCCCTCGTGGAGCAGGGCTTGGGGACTGTGAGGGAATGTACGGTTCTGTCCCCCAGGCGTGAGACTTGATGCCTTTCCTTGGCGTGGGTCCACCCCACAGCATTCTGTGTTCGCAGTATTCTCCCGCTTTGGCCTTCTGTACTCAGTCCGGGTCTTCCCAAACGCTGCAGTGGCCCGTCCTGGTTTCTATGCCGTCGTCAAGTTTTACTCAGCAAGGGATGCCCACCGAGCCCAGAAGGCTTGCGACCAGAAGCAGCTTTTCCAGAACTCTCCAGTGAAGGTAGGTCCTAGTTTCTCAGGAATGAAATGCTGAGTTCATTAAAAATAGGCAAGCATTTGGCCAGCACTTTGGTTTACAACATGCTTTCCGGCGCATCGCCCACACGGTTCCTCCAATCCCCCCACCTCCTGCTTTTCAAATTATTTATTTTTTATTATTTATTATTTATTTTTAAGAGGAAGATATTCAGATTCAGGGTGGGTAAGTACTTGCTTAAGGTTCAGAATTGTGAAAGCTAGAAGTCAAACTCAAACTTGGGCCACAGGTGACGTGGTGATTAAAGTGTTGGATTCCCACACTGCCCACTGCAGTTTGTGTCCCAGACCTGGCAGCTTGAAAATCACAACAAATAGATGATAGGTAGATAAATGTTTTTAAAAAATCTCAAACTTACTGATGCTAAATCTTGTTTTCTTTTATGCTGCCCCTTAATTGAACATCTTCATCAGAAGAGTTCTGTTTATATTTATTTGCTTTCTCACTTTCTCTCTCTCTCTGTGTCTCTTCTTAGTGCGCACATGTGACCTATAGCAAATTTTAAAAATAATAAGTAATTCTAAAAACAGAACAAAACAAAAACATACATCAAGGAAAAAAAATTATCCTTTGTTTCTCTTTCCCAACAGGCATATTCAGTTGGAATGCAACATGTAAGAAATAGTGATGTAAGAAATAGAGAGTAATGTGTAAGATATTTAAAGAGATATTTGCATGCTCAAGCTTATGAGCGCAGGTGAACCTTTTAATTGTTTTAGTTGCTTGTAAAATTTATAGAGGTCTGTACAGTCCCTCTTCCAACTGAGGTTAGTACCTTGGAAAGCAGAGTGGGCGACAGGTTCATCTCATCTGCTCCTCTGGTCATATTCTCAAGCAGGAGCTACTGGATGGAAGACTAAAACAATTCTGTGTTTTATTCGCCCTCTCACAACCCCGTTCTTTGTTTCTGCAGGGATTTCTTGGTTTTCATCGCCGTTATTCACCACTAGAGGTCAGGGAAACCTCCTAATTAACCAGGGCCCAGAAACTGATGGAGGAAAGTGCTGCGGCATAAAAGTAACAAATATCATTTATTTAAGGCTTACTGTGAATGCAGTGCTTACAGTGTTCAATCCCATTTAATCTTCACAACCACTCTTTGAAATCAGTATTGAGAAAATCTCGGGTGTATTTAAAATAAATCTCAAGCTGTGACATCTGTGGGTCTGTCTCTCTTGACTATAGGTTTGTCTTGGTACCAGACATAAAGCAGTTCAACATCAGGCCATTGCCTTAAGCAGTTCACGATGTCAAGAACTGGCAAATCACTACTTTGGTTTCAATGGATGGTCAAAAAGGATCATTAAGGTAAACCTTGTAGATTTTCTTTGACTAGTTACAACCTCCTTTCAACACTGAAATCCTGCAGTTTAGACAGAAGGATTGAACTGTGTTGTGAGTAGATGTCAGAAGTCTCTTGCATTACAGTAAGTAGATGTATCTGAATTGGACTGACGTATAGAATAATCTCAAACACTTGAATGGTGATGTCCATAATTTTCTCCAGTATTTGTGTGGTGTATAATAGTAAAAAATGACATTATGTACCTAGCAATTCATTTAAAAATCTTACTTGATATTGATAGGGCACCTCAACTATTAACTGAGATTATTGGAGTTTAATTTTTATTTCTAATAACAAAACATTTTGAAGTCTACATTAAGATCCTAGAATGACCTATAATCTAAAATCCTAACAGCTTCAGGAGCTTTCTGACCTTGAAGGAAGGGAAAATGAAGATATTGTGGTACCACTTGAGAAGCAAAGCCTGAAATTCTTCTGTGCCTTGGAGGTGGTTTTACCATCCTATGAGTGCAGGAGTCCTGGAGTTGGCATTGCAGAGGAGCTGCTGGATAAGCTGGAGGAAGGTCTGTTTTGAGGGGTGGAGGAAGGGGAGGAAAGGATCTCTTTTTTCTTCCTTTCTAAATATGTCAGGCCCTTTCATTGTTAAACAGCTAAAGACCTGTGCAGGGTTTTTCTGCCTTACAGTATAGGTTTTTGCCTTAGCTAATACTGTACAGAACTTTTCCATTTACTTTTTTTTCCCAGAATTTTTCCATAGGGTGTGCACACTCACTGGAGAGAGAGACAGAGACAGACAGAGGGAAGGTGAAAAATCACACCCCCTAGGGGGATGGGCACATTGCAATCCATTCTCTTTCATTCTCCTCTCAGGATTTTGGGCATGCATGCACACATGCCTGGTGTGAGTTTCAACCACTGGGTCCAGGTCTTGAACTGCAGTCAACCCTGTGGGCATCTAGTACCTTTAACCACCACACCACTTGCTAACCCTGTATTTAAAATTTTAAGGCTCAACTTCTGCCAACAAGCTGGCAGAAGTTCTCTTCTTTGAAGGAGAAAGAGGAAAATAATGTTTTTCTTGTTTTTGGTCAAAAAGCTTGTGCAAAATGGAATTAAAGTACTGGTTATTTTGTTGCTAAAATTTTTTTAAATCCATGTGTAGTGTTTTCATACTGCACACTTACCATGAGCTTTTTAAAGACCTTCCCCCAGAAAGTCCTTCAAAGCAGAGCTCTTGTAGCTTTTTATTACTCCAGGAAAAATCATCATCTGGGTACCAGTAGAGGGCATAATGGTTATGTCACTGGACTCCCACATAGCTAACTGCTGTTCAAGCCCTGAACCTAGAGGCTTGAAACTCACACTGGGGGTGTGTGTGTGCATGCCCAAGATCTGGAGAGGAGAAGGGATTGTGGCGTGGCTTCTCACCTTCTGTCTCTCTGTCTATCCAGCAAACACATGTGCCGTGTAGATAACTGAGTTTTTTCTGGAACCCATGGCTTAGGGTTTTAAGTTGGAGGCAAGGCTGTTAGCAGAGTGGACATCGGCTCCCGTGGGTGACGCCCAGGGTGCAGCCAGATCATCAGCACTACTGGCACACTTTTTTGCGTGTGTGATTCTAGCCCTTGATGTATAGGCAGGTAGGATCTATAGGCGCATACTTCATTTGGACATTTCGAAATCTGTGAGTGATGTTGGGCTTGTGCTATATTCCTGGCCTGTATCTCCCTCTCACTTTACAAAATTGGGGAGTAGATCGGGGCAGTGCAGATGCCAGGATGTACCTACAACAAGCTGTTCAGCGATTCTGCCTACCTTTCATGGCTAAGATAATGATCTAAGAATCATAGATGTATTTTTATTTTTTAAACATGTAAAATCAATTGTTCAGATAGGCATTTTAAATCTATTTGTTTTGGTTGAATTTAGGACCATTATCATTCCTTATGAAAAGAAAGACAGCCCAGAAACTGGCTATTCAGAAGGCCCTGTCAGATGCATTCCAGAAACTGTCGATTGTTGTCTTAGGTAAGACTTTCTTGATTGTGTCCTTGATATACTTTAGTTTCAACGAGCAAATAAACTCATGTTCAAAAGTTAATTGGATGAAAATCTGGACATTTATATTATACTTTAATTCACTCAGTTCTTTTATAGCAACAGTCTCAAATTCGTTATTTGTGAGAAAAATGACAGCAAATACTGTCCCCACTTTGTAGATGGAGAATAACTTGCCTCTACTTATACAGAAAGTATATATATTTGATCCAAGTCTTATTTTTGATTGCTTGCCTATCACACAAATTAGTGATTATAAGCTTTGGACACCTGGGTGAGTCCTAACTTTTTTTTTTTTTTTTTTGGAGAGGTTTTTGCTATAGGGTGCGGGCACTTCCCAGATAGCCAGAGAGAGAAACGAAACCCCCCCCCCCCCCCCCGGGGGGGGATGGCCACGCCACAATCCCTTCTCCTCCATTCTCCCCTTGGGATCTTGGGCAGGCACGCACACGCACCCGGCGTGAGTTTTAAGCCACCGGGTCCGGGACGCGAACTGCGGTCGACTACGTGGGAGTCCAGTGACATAGCCATTACACTAACTGCTGGTTCCCTCAGTTTTCATTTCGGTGCTGATATGGTGGATGAATATGATTCTTACATAATAGCTGTTTTTGGGTGAGCCTTGAAAGTGGCCTTGCTATTACATGATCCTGTTTAACGAATGGAATCGTACAGTTGTATGACCACGGCAGTTTGACAGTTAGCAAAAGGTTCTAAACAGAATTGCTCTACTGCTTCATAGCCCTGAAGGCTTAGAGACTGAGAAATCTTGGAAACCCTTATTGCCTGTAAGAGAGAATCTTCAGCCTTCCATCCTGGGCAGCCTTTCCAGTGACAGTCTGACTTCCCTAGTCATCAGATTGAATTTCTATCAACTCTCTACTCTAGTAACAATCTTTAAGAACCAAACTAAGTGAGCTCTTAATTTCTCTCCAGTATGCTAAGGCATTCCTTTTAGACACTCCAAACTCCTTAGACCAAAAGCTTATGACTGATTCTCCTTGAGTGAAGTCGTATTGTCTGTAAGGTATGTCCGTGGAAATAACCAAGTTCTGTAGAAATAACTAAAACAATTTATTCCAAGCACAAGTGTGAGTAACCAGGACTGGAAAAAACAAGTGTTTTCTGGGTGCTCAGATGCAGCCATTCTTTTTTTTTTTTTTTTAAGAATTGTTTGTTTATTTAATTTCATTTGTTATTGTTAATTTTTTGATTTGACCTCTGGAGAGAGAGAGAGAGAGGGAAAGCAAGAAAGCAAGCTGCCAGGTCTGGGACTTGAACCTTGGTTGGCCATGTGGGAATCCAGTGCCCTTATCCACCACACCACCTGCTGGCCCCGCAGCCATTCTTTTTATCAGTTCTCAGAAGAGAAGATGCAGACAGAGTTGCAGATCAACATATGGTATCTTTACGTTGGCCTGGCCTTAAAAGACAAGACATCTGGAAATGAGGGCTTTAGGTTATAGGTGAATTTAGAAATTCTTAGGTTAGGATGGTCAAAAGTCTTTATTTCCAGAAGACTAACATTTAGCAAAAAGAATCCCTGTACTTAACTTTCACAGAAGGCTTTATTTTGTGTCAGATGACACTATGCCAGGGACAGGATGTAGGGAACATCCTACAATCACTGGACTAAAGTGGTCTGTTAGCAAGATTAATGTTTATAGACAGGCCATCCTCAGGCCCCTTAGAAAGTATCTTAAAAATAGCGGGACCAGCGTATGGCATAATAGTTATGTCACTGGACTCCCATGTAATTGACGGTGGTTGAGTCCTGTACCCGGTGGCTTAAAACACACTGGGTGCATGTGTGTGCATGCCCAAAATCTCAAGGAGAATGGAGGAGAAGGGACTGTGGCGTGGCCATCCCCACTGGGGGGTGATTTCTCACTTTATGTCTCTGTTTCTCTCTCTGGTAGGCACACACGCCCTATAGCAAAAGTCTCTCTAAAGATTAAAAAAAAGAGAAAAAGTATCTTAGAATAGCATAACTAGTCAGAATTCTGTCCTCAGTTCTCCTTGTTGGCCAAATACCATTCCTTGGAGTGCCTGTGCAGGCTAGAAATTAAGCAGAAGGCTTATTCCTAGAAGTAGCCCATCAGTCGTTCAGCATCATCAACAATGATTTATGTTAACATCTGTGTAGCTGAGTCTGGGGAAAGGACATTTCTGACTGAATAAATAACCAATTATCTCTGAGCAGAGAAAAAAGCCAGGTCTCAAAATTCTGTTGGAATAAACCACCCTCGATCAGATTTGTATTATGTGCTGCCATAATCCAGATTTTTGATGGTGTCTTTTTTAGTTTTTGCTATAGGGCATGTGTGCCTCTTGGAGAGAGAGAGAAAGAGAGAAAATGGAGGTATGGCCTAGGGGTATGGCCATGCCACAGTCCCCCTTCCCCTTCTTTTGGGACATTGGGCACACATATACATGTGCCTGACATGCTTTTTAATCCACTGAGTCTGGGACTCACACTGTGCGGTCAGCCATGTGGGATCCAGCCACTCCAACCACCATGCTACCTGCTGGCCTCATCTTTGTTTTCTTAGCACACCCGCTCTCTGGTTTTGGTCTCAAGGCCCATTTCTTGTGAAAACTCACCAAAGCTATGATTAGGTATTTTGCTAGAAGTTAAACAGTAAAGCAAAGTCAGTTAGCCAAAGGGAAGAAAACCATCTTTAAGGGCTAGTGTATCATGTCATGTTTAGTATGGAGTTACTCTGATTTCTTGTAACTTTGCTACAAATCCGCATGGTTAATCCTTTCCACTTCTATGGAGTAAGTGTGGTAGTCCATATTTCGTAACTACTTCCTGCTGAAAAAAAAAGGAGTAAGTAAAGGTTTCGTAATGAAAGTTTTTGAAATGATGGAAAATGTCACTTTTACTTTTTGTTTTTGTCATAGGGTGCTTGTGTCACCAGAAAGACACAGAGAAAATGAGAGGGAAAGTGAAAAATCACCTCCCAGGGGATATGGCCACACTGCAATCTCTTTTCCTCCATTCTCCTCCTGGGATTTTGGGCATGCACACACACATGTCCGGCATGATTTTCAATCCCCCGTTCCAGGACTCAAACCACAGTTGGCCATATGGGAGTCTAGCACCTTCACCACTGTGCCACCTGCTGGCCCTTAGTTTTCTTTTCTAAGGGAGAGAAGAATCAGTTATGTCTCTACTTCTGTATCATTTAGGGCCCAGTAGATGGCATGGTGGTTATATTGCTGGACTCCCATCTGACTGACCATGGTTCAAGTCCTGGACCTAGTGGCTTGAAAATCACCTAGAGTGTGTGTGTGCATTCCCAAGATCCCAGGAGGAGGATGGAGGAGAAGGGATTGCAGTGTGGCCATACCCCTGGGGAGTGATGTCTCTCTCTCTTTCTCACTGTGTCTGTCTGTCTTTCTCTCTGGCACATGTGGCCTATGGCAAAAAACTCTTTAAAAAAATAGTCATTGGGACCAGCAGTTGGTGGCTATGTCACTGGAATGGCTATGTCACTGGAATCCCATTTAGTTGACCGTCGTTTGAATCCCAGACCTGGTGGCTTAAACTCACGCCAGGCGTGTGTGTGTGTGCATGCCCAAGATCCCGAGAGGAGAATGGAGGAGAAGGGATTGCTGTGTGGCCATCCCCCCTGGAGGATGATTTCTCACTTTCTAACTCTCTGTCTCTGTTTTTCTGGTGAGTGCATGTGCTCTATAGCAAAAACCTCTCCAAAAAAAAAAAAACCAGTCATTTAATTTCCCACTGTCATTTAGACTTGAGGCTTTTTTAACATTTAGCAGTTTTTAGGAGCTGGAGGGAATGCAAAGAGCCATGTTTTTATTTATTTATTTATTTACATTTTTGCCATAAGGCATGTGTGTTCTCTGGCGAGACAGAGACAGAATGTGAGAAATCACCCCCCGGAGGGATGGCCACACCGCAATCCCTTCTCCTCCATTCTCCTCTGGGGATCTTGGGGACACACACACACACGGACCCGGCGTGAGTTTAAACCACCAGGTCCAGTACCTGAACCGCGGTCAACTACATGGAAGTCCAGCGACATAGCCATTACGCTAACTACTGGTCCTGCATTACTCTTGATATCAAGCTTTCAGGACATAAACTTTGGGGGAAAAACCCATGAGAGGTAAAGCATGTAAAAAGAAATTCGTTTGGACATAAAACTGAGATCTGCAGGGAACCAGCAGTTAGCGTAATGGCTATGTCGCTGGACTCCCACGTAGTCGACCGTGGTTCGTGTCCCGGACCCGGTGGCTTAAAACTCACGCCAGGCGCGTGTGCGTGCGTGCCCAAGATCCCGAGAGGAGAATGGAGGAGAAGGGATTGCGGCGTGACCATCCCCCCTGGGGGGTGATTTCTCGCTTTCTGTCTCTATGTCTCTCTCTGTCTGTCTGGCGAGCGCACGCGCCCTACAGTGAAAATCTCTCCCCCCCAAAAAAAAAACAAAAAACAAAAAAACAAACTGAGAACTGCATAATTTTCAAACATGCTCACCAAAGCTTTTTTAAACTTCTGACAGGTTTAAAGACAAAAACTGCAAATGGGGAAGAGTTTCTCAAACAGCTTTTATTGCTTTCAGGCCTGCAAGTGTAAGAAAACACTTTCTCTGTGACCTCCCCAGCTCAGTTTGGTCAGGTTTGACACTAATGACTTTATTTGGATTCTGTAAAACTTTCAGAAAACACTTTTCCTCTTGATCAAGATACTTTTCTGTAAGGATTATTGATCAATCATCTTATGCGGCTTTAATTGATGTCAGGATGGACTTATCCTAGTGGTTGGTCTTGTCATCCCACATCAGAGGGACATGATTGACAACTAGGTCAAAAACCCACTTCTGCCACATTTGAGCAACAAAGCAGGCCTAGAGGGAGTGCCGTTCAGGCCAGATCTGCCTGAAATCATTTACCTTAAAGCCTTCAAGAGCACTTGTTACAGTCTTTTTCACATGATGCAA